CTTTCAAAAAAGACACAGAAAGTGACAAATAAATGAGATCATTAGGTACTTTTTGTAGAAACAGTATACAGAACCTTGTGAGAAAGACAAATTTGTCATATTGTAAACAAAACAATTCCAAATATATTGTTACACATTTTTACATAACTGTCATTCAATTTTACCAAGTTTTTAATTGCGCAATATTATACCTCAATCATATTCAGAGGGAATTTCTCTCCAACAATGTTAAATATTAATTGTTACTCACCCATTTGTGGAATATGGGGGAAGGAATTCAAAGGAAATATCTGCATTTATACCCTCATCAATATCAGATGCCTAGAACATAAGAATTTAAAATTATTGCAACAACTTGTTGATCAAAGGTCAAACAGCAAGGTCAACAGGTCAAACAGCAAGGTCAACAGGTCAAACAACAAGGTCAACAGGTCGAACAGCAAGGTCAACAGGTCGAACAGCAAAGTCAACAGGTCGAACAGCAAGGTCAACAGATCGAACAGCAGGGTCAACAGATCGAACAGCAGGGTCAACAGATCGAACAGCAGGGTCAACAGGTCGAACAGAAAGGTCAAACAGCAGGGTCAACATGTCGACCAGAAAGGTCAATAGCTCAAACAGCGAGGTCAATGACACAAATGGCAAGGTCGGTGGGTCAAAAATCTGGGTAAAGGTCAATAGTCAAATATTGAATAGTAGAAATATGGCTGACATTATATTCTTGAAGTCTAACTGATAACATTCTGAAATTGCTTCAACTTACATAAACACTTCCGATCAGCTGATTATCTAATCCTTCCACTACGTCAAATGCATACTCTGTAGCATTGAATTCAGGAGCATTGTCATTAGCGTCTGTAACCGTGATCGTCAGTTCTGTTGTGTCAACCTGAAAAATAGAAATATGGTTCTAATTTTACCTGGGTATTCGGTACAATTTATTGTCTTATAACCTAACGGCAAACAAAATAAATAATTTATTTCTCGTCATCTGGTCAACGTGCCTGGCAGTTCAAAAGAGGGCTACAGACTCACAATATCTTTCTGGCCAAATACCGTAAAAATTAATGCATCATTGCAATACTTTTTTTAACATCATTGGACCATACAAATTTTAGCCAAAATATCATAACTGGCATTCATAATTTCGCAGTATTTACGTAACTTTCAGTTTTACATATCTTATACAGAGTACAAATTCATTAAATTTACTTGTTCATCAATCTATTGTGTAATTTGTAATTTATTCATTTTAATATATCCATAAATGGTTTTTCATTCAAAGCAGGCCACAGGGCAAAATGTTTTATGTTGCTATTTTGGACAATAATCTCTAATTAAAATATTATTACAAGCAGAAAAAATGTCTATAATAATATTATGAGAATACTGCAAAATTTGTATTAAGGCAGTACAGGATTGCATTAATCTAAGCTATTTCTCAGTCGATACAATCATTGTTTATATAATTTAACACTTTATAAGAAAGTAATCTACCTGAAAAATCAAACAATTTAAATATGAATTTCTGTTTTTTTGAGAGAGAACTATCAAATGTGTACATTATTGAGTGTGTAAATACCCAAAAAATATTTTGCTGATGTTTTGACATCATTACAACACTGTGACTTTTGTTTGTCATGTTTTTACGTTAGATTTCACACAGTGAAATGAAAATGGTCTATTGTATTTACGCTCGTTCAAATTTTCTGAAAACCTGGGGAATATTCAAAAGAGCAAAATCAAACAATTTTAACAACATTTGATCAATATTAATACACAACTATGTTGACCTAAAGAGGGCGCTATAACTTAGGTGCAGACAACAGATCGTTCATTGTTTTCTATGTGCATGTCTAATAAGGTTAAACAGCACTGTTTGTTTTGAATGTTTTTTTGATTTTTGTCATGCTTGTTGTCATGCACTGTCTCCAGAAATTGAGCATGGGAGATTGATTTTCTGCATAGTTGTCTATCAATATCATCAGCATATCAAAGTTGCTCAATTTCCGGAGACAGCGCCCTCTATGATTATACAAGTATGCCAAAATTTGACATAAATCATGAAGTTTTGAGAACAGATTCCTCCGTTTTGAAGGTGAATTCAAATATCGACAAAGATGTTAACATAATGCATTGTTGTTATTATCAATCCTGAGAAAGAGAAAATAAATTCTTACCAAATTACCATCAGTAGCAGTCAAAGTTACTGTGTAAATATCTTGAGTTTCTCTGTCCAAATTTGCTGCAGTTAAAATGATTCCACTATGAAATAAAAACAAACATATAACATTTATATTTTAATTTTTAAATTCACAACTTATTATTTACAGTTTTAAAAAAGTTGATAAATAAACATATACAATGTATACATATATTTTTTTTAAATAAGAAGTGACAAATGCATTAAAAAAATATATTGTACTCGTGCAAGTTGCTGTAAGTTCATGAAAGACAAACTAATGAATTTTGCGAGTCAACAGAAATCATCTAATTTTTGCAGCAGTAAAACTTTTTCTGGAGTTCTAACTTTTACAAAATGTTGTCTTCATGAATGCCAACAAATCCTGAAAACGCAAGTATTCCTAGCAGTGAGATTGAATAGTTTAGAGTAGAACTAGCCATGAATCCAGTCATTCAGAGTTCCCTTCCTAATGCACTCAAGAATGGCCTGGTGAATCGCTATGTAAAAATGTAGGCTACACAAGGTTCTGTGTTATCACTGATTGGCTGTCTCCAAGACTTCAGTACATTACCATGGGAATTTGTATGTGCAGATTGACCCATACCTAAGGCCCACCCAGAGACTTCCAGGCTGATGCACTCTCATTTTTCTGATATTTTTCAAAGTTTCACAACAATAGATGGCATAAAGTCCACAGTATACAAGATGTTTTATTTTAACCACTAACATTGATTGTTAATTGCGCTAAATTAAAACACAGCGACGCAAAGGATAAAACTTACTTGTTTAAAACAGAAAAAGTCTGATTATCACTTATCCCATATGTTAGTGCGCCCTCAGAGTCAACATCAAAAGCCTAAGGAATAAATTATATAAAGAATTGAATAAAATTGATAAATAAATTGCTAAAGTGAAATTGAATAGAGACACAGTTGAAAGTACATCTAATTTTGTTAGTTTGTTTGTTTGTTTGTTTGTTTGTTTGTTTTATCCTGAAATTATGTGACAGCTCAGAAACATGAAAACCAATCAAGTGAATCAAGTTAGACCACACATTCCGCTCTATGTACAGGGTACCTACGCAAAAATATAACCTGAAACTCTGCAATTTACAATAACTTTCAACTGCTCATACCTGTATTTGTATTATCGATGAATTTATCACAACCGCTTCACTGACTGAAGCAGTGTAACTTTCGAATTGGAACTCGGGAGGTTCGTCATCTACATCCAATACGTTAATGAGAACATTGGTAATACCGGATCTAGAAAATAATTGAAATAGCAGTGTCAGATTTTTTCATAATACTTCAAATCAAATTAACAATTTAATGCATTTACAAGTTGTGACAGAAAAGGGTGTGTATAGATATATTGACACCCAGGATTACCCAGTACTGAGTAATAACCTAAATTAACAGAAACCATAAGTTCATCTTCAATAGTAATGCAAATAAACAACAATTGCATTTGGCTGTATACTAAATAATTTAAATATAACTTATTTTGATCATAGAAAAATCTCTGTAATTTTCCTCAGTGTATGCACAAGTAATGGAGAAAATATGGTAGATTGACAAGTTCAATAACAATGGTGAAGTGCAAGCTACAACACCTCACTTAGAATAAACTCATGAGTTTAGTCCAATCATTCAATGTCAATATTTTTTTT